AAGAATCTCAGCATTTAATGCAGCACATCTGGCATGTTTTTAAGTCGCACCATAAGCTGCATTTGCAGCTTCTCTTTAGGCCTGTTGCAATAAATCAATTAATCAAATGATAAATGAAAATTGTCAATCTCATTTTCATTTATCAGCTTTATCATTTCTTCATCTCTCTCTTTCTACTGAAGAGACTGGATGACAAAAAGCTCAACTCCGGTGCTCTTCACTGACCCCTCCCTTTCTATTTTCTCAGTTTTAACCGTCCAAAATCGCGTTTTGGATCGTTAAAAGCAGCTAAGTTGAGAAACTACGAGATAAGCTAACAGGCTGACCTCCGCGGAAAAACCTCCGTCCTATCGAAGTTCCAAAATTCACGGTTGAAACCCGTGCCTTTGTGTAAAAAGTTGTTTTTCTCTGCAAAAAGAATGAGAATTTTTTTTTTTTTAATTAAAAGTTTTGTGTGAAAAATGCTATGCTAAAGAGCACACCGTGCGTCCGCCATTTTGAGAACCCCAATAAAAGGAAGGAGATACAGCCCATGTCATGTCAAGGGGCCTCCCTCCCATTTTTCTTGGAGACGCGCTGCTCGCTCCCTTACTATCCATCCTTCAGTTCAGTCTTGTACTGCCATCCGGTGGTTGAAAAAAGGTACTACACACAAAAATTAAGCAACATTTCTTCTTAAATTTGACAATTTTTACTAATTGTCAAATTTCAAACAATATTATCGTTTATCGCAATAATTTCTGAGACAATCGACCAGCAAAATTTATCGTGACAGGCCTACTTCTCTTCACAATGGTTGGCGTGGGTTTTTAAAAAAAATCTTTTTTTTTTTTTTACTGCCTGTAGGTATAAAAAAAAACGTATCTACATTAAACACTTTTTAAAACTTGTACTTTGTTAGGAAAGGCGTAAAGAAGCTGAGCGCTTGGCACGTGAACGCGAGGAGCTTCGGCGGCAGCAAGAGCAACTTCGTTTCGAACAGGAAAAGAGAAACAGCCTGAAAAGGGGACGTGAGGTGGAACACAGGTATTTGTTTTTTCCTCACTCATAAGTTTATGATCAAAACTGTTGGAAGTTTGTTGGTAAAATATCGATACAAGAAATTTCACGGTAGCACAACATGCGACTTTCATTGCTGCCTTCAAGCCATAAAGAAAGTTGATGCTTCCTGTTTCAGTCGACGGGATGATACTTACTGGACCGGCAACAAAAAGATGCAGCTCGAGTCTGAGGTCCATTTGAACCAAGGCACCAGTTACAACCGGCAGCAGAATCGCTTCTCAAACGTGAATCCTCGTGAAAGAGGTCGTTTTCCTGACGCTGGAACTCAACAATCAACTGCGTATGACCGGTGAGGCGCCTTTGTTATAGCAAGCCGAAGAATCAGGAGCTTAACTTCTATTCGTTCTGTCAACTTTTTTATTTTAGTTCTCACGATAAAGAAAAAAGATCTGCTCAAGTGATGCTGGAATTTTAAATGTCTTTTAATATTCAAGATATTTTTAAGTAAAGACTTTTCAGGACGTAGTTTCAGACTTTCAGTGTATGTTGCAATTTTGAATGGAGGAGTGGGTGTTTATCTTTCAGGAACAAGTCACTTAATGTTTTGTTCGTCACTCTCAAACCCATCGTCAGCTTTGCCTTTTGACGTTCTAGCTTTTAAAAACGACAGAAAAAGCCAACAAATTAAAACTGCTTTATCAGCTTTTTTATTGTCTTCGACCAAAACAAAATATCGTGGGATGGAACACGAACAGAAATGTCATGGATGAACGGAGCTACAACTACCGTATTTTCTGACGTACACGTCGCGCCGCCTTATAAGCCGCATCAGTCCCAGTATGTCTAATAAAGAGGAAAAATCCATAAATACGTCACTTTGCCGTATAAATCACATCTATAATGCGTCACCGCTGACAACCCGGACATTTGGGCCGGTGTTGTGCCCAAAATCGATTGGCTGCCAAATGGCGTGCATGGGAGCGTGCACGGGAGGACTTTAACAAGAATTTAACAAGATTAGCACTTAAAAACAATTATTGGTTTGCTCCAAATTATATTAAAAGTGTGTCTCTGTGGAACGGCATGCCATACTACTCGAGTTCCATCTAGCGGCTGAAAATGGTAGCGTTCAATATTTTCAGTCAGAATGAATGAACACGGTCACATCTCAGCCAAAAATTGGTTTATAAATACGGGATATAAAGCATAAATAAGATGATTCGTGTATAAGTCGCAGGGCATGCAAATTATGCAAAAAACTGCGACTTGTAGGCCGAAAAATACGGTAGCCTGAACAAGGTCATTCACAGAGCAAGGTCACGATGGGTAGAAAGCAAACATGAAAACGATGCAGTGAACATCTTTGCCATCGAATATTCACTCTTGAAGAGGGACTGTATGGGTAGTAACGAATAAGACGAATGAAAGTTCATTTAGACAATAATGTTCATTATAGCTGTATCAAGTTAAATTAAACTCCTCTAACTCGAGAGTGAATCGTTTCCAGGAATCAAAAACCTGTTTTTTGTAGGTGATCAGCTGCTGTTGTGAGAGGGGAACATTTTAGGTTTTCTGCAGCGCACTTTTTATTACACTGTCGAAAATGTGAATTCTAATGTTTGGTGTCAAATACATTTTAGTTGGACCATTTTAAATGTTCTTTTATTGTATGTATTTATGTAGTTAAATTTATTAGAGAACTATTTTGCCTTTGGAATAGTGAAAATGTATCTACTTGCTAAAAATCCTCAGTCTGTAGAAAGAATAAATGCCTGCTACACTGTGAGCTGAAAGATTGGTGCATTTTAAGTTTGATTCGGCCTTTTTATGGTCTGGTGTATATTGCAGTAACACGTAAACCCCCTTCAGGGATGACAGGAACATTATTGCTTCGTTTATTTTACTTTAGTAATTTAGAGTAATCTTATTGTGGTCGTTTGGATCTTAAGGCACAACAGGTTTGAAGGTGCACCTGAGGCTAAGAAGAGTCGCCCAGCTCCTCCCAGAGAGGCCTCAAGCTTTGACAGATACCCCAAGAACTTTGACACAGTTCGCAGACCCGAGCCCCCTCCTGACATTGAACGCAGGGAGAGTGACGAGAGACGCCCAGCACCCATGCACAATCGCCCCGTGACCGCAAGGCCTGCAGTGCCTGCCATGTCTCACAACCGCCCACCAAGAGACGGGGGGCACGGATGGAAGAACGATGGAGGAATGAACGCCAGCAAGGGAGACATGCGGTAAAAACTCGTCTTTTGAAGACGCAGCAGTATCGGGGTGTGACCGAGCAGAATTGTTTAAATGTTGTTTTGTCTTGGACAGAGGAACAATGCGCCAGCGTACAGAGCGGCCAGCCAGAGAGGATCTCAGGGAGGCCCCTCCGGTGAACCGTGGGAGGAGCAGCTTTATCGAACGAGATGAAAGGAGACCCGTGACGATGAACGATCAGGTCAGCTCCTCTGACGGAACACTGACATTCTGCAAACGTGTTTAAACTGAAGCAGTGAACAACTGGAGTGGCTTATTAAGAGTGCACACAAATATCTCTTGGGGTTAGAAAAAAGATGCAGGGGAGAAATATGCAAACAGAATATAGATGTAAAATGTGAAAAATATTACACAAGTTATTTTAAGTAAACCGTTAGTCTACGCTCTTTTTTTTCTTTGTCCTTTGTTTTTGTAGATTAATTGCTACAAAAAGAAAAAGTTAAAAATGAGCTAAAGTGAGCACATTTAGTTGTAAATGGACCATAGACTCCAGTACATTCATAAAATGTAGCAATAAGAAGGATGTGAGATGGAGGAAGAAGGGTGACACTTTCTCCACTCCCCTTCACTACATTTATTTTATTTATTTAGCTCTCATTAAAGAGGGGCACCAGCTGGTCCGTTTACTGACCAACAGCAGCTTAATTAACATATTCGCCCTTTAATAATCAGAATCAGTCACTGAAGCAGAATCCTTTAATTACAGAGTTTTATACCATAACAAATTAATATCCATCTGAATGAAAAGTCCAAAGTTGTCTTTTGAAGTTTTATTACAAAAATAATCAAACTAAGAATCGACAACAATAATAATGCATCAATCAAGGCTTAATTCTCTTATCAGTTCAAACTGGGTTGATGGGATGACAGTTTTTTTGGGGGGTGGTGGTTGAGTACATTTATTCATCAGTTTCTTGCTGCGTTCATCTCTGCAGCCGTTCAGTTCTGGCCGTCAGGTTGTGGTGGAGCGTCCTGCCAGGGAGCAAGGACTGAGGAAGGAGTGGCACGGAGGCTCCAGCTCTCAGGGAGGGGTCTTTAACAGTCGCAGGATGGGAGACAGCCGGGGCAGCATGATGGCTCCTTCCAGGTATGCCCAACAAACCAAGCAACGATGTGAAGTGGGTCTCTCTTGCAGCCATTTCTGACGTCACCTTTGTCTCTGCAGTCACTCGACGTCAGGACTGAGCCGAATTGTTCAGATCACCAACAGCTCGCTGCCCACCAGCGGCACGATGAGTGGATTCAAATCCTTCAAGGGAACAGCACGGCCGTTCTAACAGCAACGGACTCCTTCCACTTTGAAGCATCAACAATTTCAAAGCTTTTGTTTTTGGTTAAAGCGTCGCCAGTTTTGGTCGGCTCAACCGCAACCTTGAGGATAACGCTATTTTGTGTATAAAGTGTTTACCTCAGTGTAGGGTTTTCCTGACAGTTCTGCTGTTACTAAACAACCCTGTTCACACGTTTTAATATTTAGAAAAGCTTTGTACAGCCCGTAGTCCTTGTAACACGTTTTCAAGTGAGATGGTTTCTCTTTTTGTTCTTTTTTCAATAGTGTAGTGTCACTCAGTTTTCCTCCGTAGCGTCTTCCTTTAACGTATTACAGAACTCAAAATGACCAGGAGTTTTGATTTTTCTTAATTTTGCTTTTTACTTACGAATACGTTTTATTTTGTAAAGAATTGTCAACTTGCTTAAAAGTGAAGAAAGTGCTCGCCACAGCAGCAGATGACGTTTCATCAGACTCCAACTGAACTGCGTCGCTGGAATAAAACCTTGATTCTGTAACGGGGAATCTGTTCAACTTTGTTCTCAATTATTTTATTCAGTCTGTTAATCTGATCCATGTTCAAGTAGCTGTTGGTTCTCTGGTCCGATAACGTCCAAATTCAACTTTAGGATTTCAGCATGTAAAAGGTTTAAAGGAATATGAAAGTTATTCCGTGGACTCTAGTGTAGTGGACATTGTCAGCTAAAAGGTTTAACGTCTGTCATTTCAGTGTATCCAGTTCAAAATGTTGGAGACTTGATGGTTTGAGTTGGACCAGCCAATGGACTGTCCCACTTATACTTGTTTTGTAGTTTTACCCACATGTTGCATTTGGTTGATGAAGCTTAATTAAACTAAAATAACGGTTTTTGATTGCTTATTTTAGCTACAATGGTGTTTGGATTTTGTGGTAGTTTAGAAACCACGACCGCGTAAAAGCGGATTGTTTAATCAGAACTAGAGAAGAACCGTTTGCAATGATCGTTTCATGAAGTCATTGAGGATCTGGTGAAATTCGCTTTACGTGACTTAACTTGTCTTCTAGTACAAATAAAGCTCAACCTTTATCTGATCGGGATTTTTAAATTGTTTATAATTCACAATAAAAATGTAAGCCGGACCACTTCTAGCTGCACGAGAAGTTAAACGTCTCGTCCTAAAATGATGCAGGAAAAAAAACGTGCAGTGTTCTGGGCTGGACCAAAGTACGGTAACTCGTTATCAGGATGTCCAAAGTATTTGCTTGATCCAGAATGATGCTGCTGGAGTTCTCAGCTCATTTTAAACTGCACTGAATGTTAATGTTTTATAAGAACTGACTTGGTGAAACTTGGCTTAATGCATGTAGTTGAGCCTTTTTGAGGGCCGTGGTCTTAGATGTTTTTAACTAAAACTAGTAAATCGTTACTATAAAGGCTTTCAGAGCCATCTTCCTATAATTAAATTTTATTCTTTTGGCTGCTCGGGTCACCACGGTGAACCTTTCACAAAGACGTGGCAATTATTTTTACGCCGGATGTCCTTGTGCCTCAAGGGCCCAGAGTGGGGCAAATGAGGGTGGAGGCAGGTGTGGGTGCTTCACCTATCCCACCCACATTTTGATGAACTGGCGACCTTCTGATCACAGGCCCAACTTTAACCTCTGCGCCACCACTCCCCAATCGTCCGCCTTCCTGTGATAAACTTCAGAGGATGAAAACTAAAATTTGTCTTGTATTTTTAATAAACAGCCTATTCGAGAATGAGTCAATTACAAAAACTCAATCTAGTTCTAAATATAGGTTTTCATAGAAATGGGAACTTTTAGAAAGTTTAAATACCGTTGGAAAACGCATTTGCGACTCCGGGTGCTCAGATTCGTTTAAATTCTTCGGACGGTTCTGGAAACGTTTCAAGGTCGTTCAGATTCATCAACACCTGTGCCGTCATCTTGTCTAGTAAGAAGAGCCTCTGACAAAATGATGCAACTTGTCAAAATCTTGTTTCTGCTGAACTGAGCGTAAAAGACAGACGGCTCCATATTTTCACAGTGAACGAACAACGAAGGCTGAAAAGTAAAAACAGACAAATTGTTCATCGTATTTTTTTATTAACCAGGTAACTTCTACTCAGGTTGAACGTCCCTCGTCTATAAGGCATTTGTTATATTTATATATATATATATATTTATATACACATCATCATATACAATATGTGACTGTAAGGTGAAAGGCTACATACATTATTTGGTCATTTAAGTAAATAGATGAACAATAAAATTGACACTTAATGCGTAACCTCCCACTTAATGTTGTGACCGTTAATGAGAACAAAAACAAACAGGCCATACAGTGAAAATTATATCCTTCAGGTTTTAAATTACTTTTTCTGTGTCCGACATTTCATTTCACCCTTGCACATGCTTTGCAAGATAAAATTGGGGAGTTTGGTATTGCATTAAAGAAAAGATCTGGATTGTTCAGCACTCTGGATGTGTCTCGTGACGAGGATGAACTCTGCTACATCAACGCTCACGTCTTAGAAAGCAGCTCTGTCCTCGTTTCATGTTCAGTTTGAGCGGATTCTCCTTCTTGGAGAACGTTACGTAGTGTAACAACGGACCAGACTGGAAACATCACATCCTAAATTTGGACTACACCTACCAATCTTTTGCCTTATTTGTACTACCGTATTTTTCGGACTATAAGTTGCACTTAAAATCCTTAAATTTTCTCACCAATCGGCGGGGAGTTTTATAATCAGGTGCACCTTATGTATTAATTCTGGTTGAGCTTACTCACCTCAAACCAATTTTATGTGGTTATTGTGAATGAGTTGAACAAAGTTTGACTTGTATGTTTTTTATTTAATGCACCTTATAATCTGGTGCGCCTTATGTATGAAAAGTAGGCCTGTCACGATAACAAATTTTGCTGGGCGATTAATTGTTTCAGAAATCATTGCGATAAACGATAATATTGTTTGAAATTTGACAATAATTAGTAATTATTGTCAAATTTAAGAATAAATATTGGTTAATTTGTGTGTAGTATCGTTTTTTGACCACTGGATGGCAGTAAAAGACTGAACTGAAAGATGGATAGTGAGGAAGCGAGCAGCGTGTCTCTAAAAAAAATGGGAGGGAGGCCCCTTGATGTGACATGGGCTGTTTCTCCTTCCTTTTTTCCAGTTCTCAAAATGGCGGACGCTGCTCTGTGTGGTTTGAGCTCTTTAGCATAGCATTTTTCACACAAAGCTTTGAATAAAAAAATCAGTAAACAAGTTCTCAGCTTCTTTTTTTTCAGAGAAAAACAACTTTTTTTACACGAAGGTTTCAACCGTGAATTTTGGAGCTTCGACAAGACGGAGGTTTTTTTTTTTTTTTTAACAGAGGTCGGCCTGTTAGCTTAGCTCGTAGCTTAGCTGCTTTTAACGATCCAAAAACGCGATTTTGGACGGTTAAAACGGATTTTAAAGAGAAAGGGAGGGGTCAGTGAAGAACACCGGAGTTGAGCCTTTTGTCATCGAGTGTCTTCAGAAGAAAGAGACGAAGAAACGATAAAGCCGATAAATGAAAACGAGGTCGATAATTTTCATTTATCATGCGATTAATTGATTTATTGTTTATCGTGATGGGCCTAAAGAAAACATAATGATATTGCACCTTATAATCCAGTGCGCCTTAGAGTCCAAAAAAATACGGTATCTTTTTCATTTATCCTCCCGATTTAAAAAATGGCTCGTTATGTATGAGCTGCCACACCGTCCTGTGTTCGTAGCCGTAAGACTGGTATAGATGCACCACTAACCTGAGTAGTCTTTAAAAACTGCAGCAAGTTCTACTGGGTTGATGCTACTTTTGTCAACAACTCATTGATTTGAAGCCAAAACTTTTTAACAGCCCTTTTAAAATTTGACAAATATTAGCTAACTTAAGAGCAACTGCTACTAACGAGAAATAATTTGGCCACTATTGAGCTTTTTTTTTAGCCCCACCCCCAAAAAATAAAATAAAATCAACAACAACAAAAAAAAAACCAATAGCACTCTTGCACAATTTAGGTTCTATAGAAAATGAGGTATGTTTTTTTTTCTGTTAGTGCATATTAATGTAACAGTGCAAAACCAATTGCAAATATATATATGCGTGTGTTCCACGATCACCTTTTTACAGCGTTTACCCCACAATCACTTTACAAGGCAAACAGGAATCCACTTTGAGACACACCAAACACCGAATATCCTTCTTCTTAATTTGTCATAAGAACCCAGGGTGAAACAAACATGTTACAAGTAAATCAGATCAGAATCTGGTAACAATGAGAACAGCAAGTTAATGCATCGTAGTACAATTGAAATAATAACAAAAATAAGCGGCGTATCACTCCAAAATGTTCAGTCTCACAATCACAAGCTAAAAACAAAACTTTCCTAAATGAAGTTTCATTACAATAAACCTAAATTGAAATGCTAAACATGTTCACTTAATGAGCAGAGACACAGGTGAGGTGAAAAAAACACAAGTATAGGGTTAAAAATAAAGTAAAAATGCTGCAAAAACCAATGAAAAGTGTTCCAAACGAATATTCTTTAACCCTGTCCGCAAAAGTTTTTACATGGGCAGCCAGTTATCTTGTTTATAGTGTGTAGTTTTTACATAATAGTGTTAAATCCTTCAAAGTGTCAACGTCGTGTGCGCATAAATATAGATAATAAAAAGTTGTGACCGAGAGCAGCTGCAGGACAAGGAACTGACAATAAAAAAGCATTTCATCTGAAGACACAGGAGATTCGTACCTTCAAAAAGCAAGGCCTGAGAGTAGTTGTTGTGGAAAATGTATGGATTGTCTCAAAAAAAATAGCCTCGTCGGGAGCCAAGCAAGCATGGAGCTCAACGTACTGCCACTGCATAAGAAAGGTAATCCCTCTGGATCCTTGTAGAAACTGATGGAGACCTTTTAACGTGCGCTGTAAAGACCTTCTGTGACAACTATCTGCAACAGGGGGCTTGAGTCAAGGCATCCAACTGGAATGTACAGATAGAAAAATGCCCCCAAGTATAACAATGGCACAAACTAACGAGTAGCTAACTCCATCTAATAAAGATAAAACGCAGTGAGTAAATCTGTACAGCGTGTGTCTGCACGCTCAGTGCAGAAATGAAACGCACACAAGCTGAAACGTGACGCCGTAGGATTGCAGCGTAAAGAATTTGCGTCCTGTAGCTCCTAACACAGCTTCATTTGTGAACTTTTATTTTTTTTAGGCCTTAAATTCATTAAATGTAAGATGGATTCGCGCCTCGTTTAAGTTGGACAACTTAACACAAAATTAGGGATGCACGATATTATCGGCATTGTATCGGCCGATATTAGCGATAAATTTAAATATCGGGCATCGGCCATTTCATCATAATAACTCACCGATATAAAAGGCGCTTATCTATCTATATATATATATCTATATATATATAGATATATATATAGATATATATATAGATAGATAGATAGATAAGGTGCTGTTTTTGTAGGACAACCCAGTGACGAGGATGTCTGCAGTGCTAGCACAACGTTATGACGTCACGAGCGCCGTTGAGTTGAGATTTGTGAAAAATTACAAATACATTTGACATTAAACATAATCCAAGTTGAAGTGTTGCATCATTTTCAGCCCCTTTTTGGCATCTGCTCTTTTGGTAGGCCAACCTGACACAGACCATGCAGAATAATAGTATTTTAATTCCACAGCAGAGAAAGATATGTAGTCTCTGTAAGTTGGTCTAGGGGGAAAATATCGGTATTGGTATCGGCCAAATAATTTTTAACATATCGGCATATTGGTTATCAGCCAAAAATCCAATATCGTGCATCCCTACACAAAATTAAACTTAAAGGAAGCTAAATAAGGGGAGTTGGACACGTGGCCAGACGAATGAATTTGCAGCGAGGAAACAGAAAGCTGAAACTTGTTGAGCATCTTGATCGTGCCACTGTTGTGGAATTCTGTGCAGGTTTGTTGTGTTTAGCCACAACTGTTAACGGATTATTACTGGTTTGGACAATAACAACCCCAATTTTGAAAAAGTTGAGATAGTTTGTAAAAAAGTAAAAAAATAAAAATCAATGACTTGTAAATAAATGGAACTTAGTAACATATCAAATGTCTACATTAAGAAATTGCAGTTTTCTGGGAAAAAGAAAATATAATTTGAGTAAGCCTTTGAGAAACGCTGCCATCGTTAAGGGCCAAAGCTCGATGTAACGTGGAAAACCGCTCTACGGTCGGACAAACCGAGAGGTGAAATTCATTTTGGAAACCACGGACTGTCCAATGTACTAAAGGGGAGTGGCCATCCAGCCCGTTAGCAACAATCAGCTCAAAAGCCTGCCTCTCTAATGGTATAGGGGTACATTAGCACCTCTGACATGAGCAGCTTAGACATGTAAAAATTGGCATCCTCAATGCAGCAACGTATATCCAGGTTTCAAAACAACATACGATCAATACAATTTCTTCGTTTAAACATTTGATACGTTTACTACGTTCTATTGTAGATTAAAATGTGTGTTTATGAGATTTGCAAAACATTACGTTATGTTTTTGTCTAATTTTGACACAGCGTCACAACTTGTTTTGGACTCGAGGCTGCACTAAATGTGCATTAGTATTTTTGATTTGAATGTTCAAATGTAGTCGTAAAGAAACGATACTCAGGTGACAAACTAAAGGAACATCTGCAGTTAACTTCGGCATGCACTATAAAAGTTTATGGAACTTTATTCCCCCCACAACCCAATTTTATTTTTTTTTAATTTGGCGTTATATTGGTGATCGCAAAAATCACTGTCTAGCTCTAAAATCGTATTTTCCTGTGCAGCTCGTGCCCTGGAAGTGGAGATATTGTCTTCCTGAAAGGGATTCCTCACATATGGATACAATTATCTGAAATCAAGAAAATGAAAACTTCTGTATCAAGTAATAGTTGGAGAACCACCGAATCTTTTTTTACTGAAAAATAAATAAATAAATAAATAAAAAAACAGGGTTTACCTTTAATTTGTCACCTGTCTTTACCCAGAGACTTATCGTGGTAGTTCCTGCACAAACACTGCATTTCTTCACAAATCTGACAGAGACTGTAGGTGAAGGGCCTTTTACCTGAACATAAATCTATTCTGCAAAACATTACAAGGAAAAAAGTCCCTAATAGATTTGTTTTTTGTGTAATATAACAAAAGAAAAATCTAAATTTGCAGTTTGACTAACACAGCATAAAAAAATTGGCAATTTTCCGTCTGAAACTTGTAACGGATATAGCGAGTGAGCTGCACATGCTATCACGTAGCATCCTGCGCACGGCACATTTAACTCCAATCTGAACTAAATTTAAGAACACGCTCACGTTCCGACAGAACAAATTACAACAACGCCGTCCACTGGTAAGGCAAATCTGAACAGGATGAACTGCGATTACTGTTGCAACACGGCGTCCGTGTCTGGCAGCTATCTGGCATTTTTTAACCCTTTAGGAACACGAGCGGTGCCGACAGGTGAGAAAACAAAATCCCTTTACTTCTTACGAAAGGAAAAGCAAAATCCCCAAAAGCTTCCCGTTAAACTGTAACATAAATAATGAATCTTGGCATCTACGGCTGATAAAAAAGTGGATGTTTTGTAAATATTGACGCGTACAAAAAGCTTATAAGCTGCTTGAGTGACAAACGAAATGGAAATGAGGAAGGTGTCATTAGATGTCTTGTATAAAATGCGCCATCCCAGTTAAATCTCACCACACATCACAAATATAGTGCGGTGAGCAACTTGTAACAAAGTTTGGCTGAATTTGGAAAAAAAAAAAAAAAAAAACCCAGGGGTCGTAGTTTTTATTGTAGTGTCCCTTCCTGTGGTGTTCAGGTTCCACTGAGAATAGAGGATAGCAGGCACCAGTGGTTTGGAAACAGCCGATCCTCCTTCCCTTGTTTCTCGTCCAACGGGGGCTGCACGTCGTGCGTTCAGTCCACGCAGAAACAAACGCGCTCTCCGTTTACACAGATTAACACAAGTCACGCGCTCACACAGGCACGCTGTGTGTTACAAAATAACACATTTGTCTTTATCTTTTGATTCTTTCTTGGCTTTGCGCTCCCCACCTGACGGCTGTTTCCCCGGGCTGGGGGCGGCTCCAGCTGCTGCTGCAGTCCCAGCGCCCGCTGCTGCTCCTGCTGCTCCTCTGCTCGCCTCTCCTCCTTCCACATCGTCCTGTCGCACCAAAAATGGAGGGAGCATTTAGTGCGTGCACGGTTTCCTAAACCAAGGAACGTACAGACCCTTGCTGGGCTCCAAACGCCACCTTTCTCTTTATCTTGGGATGAGTTAGAAAACTGATCTGTGGCCGGTGAACCTAATTATTATCACCTGTTGTTGAAGGCAAAAGAGCGATAATGTGCTTCCCATGTCTGTGCACGTTTGTTTGTACCTTTAGCAATATTTTTCATGTCACTCAGTGGTTTTCAATGAAACTCTCAGAAAGTAATCATTGGATCAACTTCAGGACCAAATTAACTTTTTGCGTCAAACCAATACAAGGAGGTCGCCACAGCTCATCAGCTTTAGCCTACACAAAAATATTTATAATTAATTTCAACAGATGTTGAGCTAAACTTTGATGTGGTGCTAGATAACAGTCACAAGACAAATCACTGCACTGCATGATGTTATTTTCAAAGTTTGTCAAAAATGGCTTTCTCAACATAAGCTGATCTTAATCTGAAACTCTGGCATGAAAGAAGAGGGCAACATGTATTCCTTCAAGAAACACCAAGACGTTGTAAACACATCACTTTGTTAGCGTGACTAGGCCTGTCACGATAAAAAAAAATTTGCTGGGCGATTAATTGTCTAAGAAATTATTGCGATAAACGATGTTATTGTTTGAAATTTGACAATAATTAGTAATTATTGTCAAATTTAAGAAGAAATGTTGGTTAATTTTTGTGTAGTTCCTTTTTTCAACCACAAGATGGCAGTATAAAACTATCTGAACCGAAGGATGGATAGTGAGGGAGCGAGCAGCGTGTCTCTTTAAGAGAAATGGGAGGGAGGCCCCTTGACGTGACATGGGCTGTCTCTCTTCGGTTCTCAAAATGGCGGATGCTCGGTGTGGTTTGAGCTCTTTAGCATAGCATTTTTCACACAAAGCTTTTAGTAATTATGATTATTTTTTTTAAATCAGTAAACAAGTTCTCAGCTTCTTTTTGCAGAGAAAAACTTTTTAGACGAAGACACGGGTGTCAACCGTGAATTCTGCAGCTTTGACAAGAAGGAGGTTTTATCCCGAGGTCGACCTGTTAGCTTAGCTCGTGGCTTAGCTTCTCAACTTTGCTGCTTTTAACGATCCAAAAACGCGATTTTGGACGGTTAAATTTTTTTTTTTTTAAAGAGAGAAAGGGTGGAGTCAGTGAAGAGCACCGGAGTTGAGTCTTTTCTCATCCAGTGTCTTCAGTAGAAAGAGACACGAAGAAACGGTAAAGCTGATAAACGAAAATGAGGTTGATAATTTTCATTTCTCATGCGATTAATTGATTTATTGTTTATCGCGACAGGCCTAAGCATGAGTTTTTGTTATCTTTTAAAATCAAACCAATGTCTCTTCTTACCATTAGTCTAACTTTTAAAATCCAACCTCTCGAATGCAAACAGAGCCCGCTGTTAAGTGTAATAGTTCATTAAATGGCACATATTTGTTAAAACGCATCCTTCTCCTCCCTCTGTGACCTGCGGCGCCTCTACCTGTACCTGCGCTGCTGCTGCTGCAGCGGCTGCTTGCTCCTGCTCTTGCTCCTGGTAGTACTGGGAGGCTCGTCGGTCCTCCTCCTCCTGAAGCTTCTTGGCCAGCTCCAGGTCACTGATGCCTTCAGGGAGTTGCTCCCACTGCAGGTCCTGGCTTTGCTGCTCCTGCTGCAGCGACAGCGCCATCAGATAGTCCTGATAACAAATAAACGTGCATCAAACGTCAACACAAAAACATGCGCCAAAATAATGATTGTTCTTCTGATTATTAAATACAGAACTTATTAACCACACTAAGGGTGTTGGGCTTTTTTTGACTCTTAATTAAACTTTGTTTAGGGACTAACTGTAGTATGACTCAACCTTTTTATTACATTCTGTGACAAAACAAAAATTCTGTTTTGTCGTGTAGATCATGACAAGCTAACTGAAGTGAACATTGCTTCATAAAATGATGCAGTGACTTAACTGATCTTGTACATTAGAAGGATTAGATTTAAATAAAAAAGACAAATAGCTACAAAATGTTTGTATCCACGTGTAAAGGTGTTAGAAAAGTAATCGGTAAACAGTAGTACAACACTCACCAACTCACAGGGAAGCAACGATGAAACAAAAAGCTGGGAAGACCTCACACGTTGATAAAGAGACCACTGAGTATATGATGAAGTATACTATATACTTTATACTAAAACATAGTGTTA